TTTAGCATACCCAGTCTCATTCTTAAAATTCATTACAGCATTTCGTAAAAAGCGGTTGGGGATAAGAGTTTCTGGTGAAACATCTTTCTCATTACAATCTGGACATTCATGTTCTTCAGATTCTAATAAGAATGTCCGAATACCTGTTATACACATATTATAAAAATGCATTAAAAATTGATAGTAAATTCTAATAAATATAAATATATAAAAATTAAAAAAATTACATTCATCACAAAATGAATTTCCACAACATGGTATCATTACTGCGTCTGTTAAAAGATCTTTGCAAATATTGCACAATAGATCCTCTGGGATCTCTGGTTTTTCTATAGCAGGTTCAGGATCTTGTGAAAATGGTGGACGTTCCTTTTTACCTTCTTTATATGCTTGACTGAAAATTAAAGAAATAGTTAAACGAATTTTAAAAGTATATAATATATTTATTGACTTTATTAATCATTTTATATATTAGAACATACTGATCAATAGCTGGTACAGCATATTGACCCGTTGGTGTCATCATAGCACCAGGAACTCTTGGTCCTTCAACTGGAACCATAAAACTCCTAGGAATACCTGTACTTTTCTTAATTTCTATTGGTTCCTGATTTGTCCCAAGTGGACAATTTTTAATCCAATGTCCAGGTTGATGACATTTGTAACAACGATAATTTGCAGGTACATCACCAGTTTGATTAGCTCCACGTATTTTCATGTAACTGTTAAAGATATACATCATATGTAGAATTTTGGTATACATGTCAGATAGAAAACAAAAAAAGAATAAAACCATATACAAGATAGAATAAAATAAAAATTTTGCTCGTAAAATGGCATACTTTGATGGATCATAATCTTGTGTAGATTGAGTCATCATTGCCCGAATTTTGTCTTCTTCAGAGCCATCAAGCCTTGTAAGATCTACAGCTCTGCCTAAATTGGATTCATCTTTTAGGTTACTAAACGAAGGAGCATCATTTCTGTCCCATGATCGCTTTTGTTGAACTGTTAATGGAACTCTAGCAACAATAAGGCTAGTATTTTTTGCAATTAATGCATTATCATCCGTATAATCTAAAAGAATCATTTCTATACTTTACAAAAATTGGTATTTCTTATGAAAGTATTATAATTATTTGCGAACAAATATATAAGAAACAATTATAAAATATTCTATATTTGCCTTCCTTAGTTTGTGCATTTGTTATTTGCAGATCAAAATCAGTGTTCTTTCCTATACGTTTTTGATGAAAAATAGCCTTCTTCAAATCTGCTACGGAAATATGTAATCCATCAAAGGATACAGTATCATAATCTAAGGTAGATTTGAATTTATAATGTACTGACATTTTTGTTATTTATATATCCTGAAAAGAAACAAAGAAAACTAAAAAAATAGTTATTTACAAAAAACACTGAAATTAAATGCATAAAATTTATAAAAATTACAAAAAAATGTTTTTTATAAATAAACAAATTTTAATAATAAAATAGTATACTTATAAAATAGCAAAATGTCTCATTTAATTTATGTATATATGAATATATAGTCTTTGTTTTCTTATATATATAAAATTCATACAAATCACTTAATAAATAATTTAATAAAACTTCAACATAATATTTTACACAAACAACAAACTACATTAGTTTAGTTTATAAACAGCTTAAATATTCTCTTCATTATTCCTTTAGAAATTATGCCATATCTTTTCCTTTTTCTTGAAACTAAGCAAAATATTAATATTACACTTTAATAATCTTTATACAAGCTCAAAGTAAACACTATATTCATAATTTTATATCACATAGTTATTTTAATGCAATTGATATATAATTCCCTCTTTCAAACACAAATTCTATTTGTTTCAACAAAGGTTTAAACAGTGTTTTATGTTAATTATTTTGAAATATAATAACACATAAATAACAACAAATAAATATTATACAAACGGATTTAAAAATACTACTTATGACATTTAACAATAACATTAATAGCATTAATATAATTTATATTACATTACATTACTAATACATTTGTGTGTACGTGCACGCACACGCGCGCGTGTCTATATTAGTCCAAAATATACATATATCTTCCATAGTATCAAAATATTTCATACAAACATTGAAAGTCTTCCAAAAAATATTACGTGTAAATAGTTTATTTCTTAATGAATTTACATTCATCATAATACATCCACATATATAGACACATCCACAATAAATTCAGGTTCATGTACACATATCTATACATGTATGTGTATAAATGAGCATATATATACATATAATAAAAACGCCCATATATATTACAAGAATTAACAAACATAAATAAATAATCTTTTTTAAATGATGATAGCTTGATAGAACTAGAAACAATAAAATGCTCGATATTGGCTAATTAAAACGCATTAAAAATGTTAGTGAGGTTAAGAATCAATGTTAGAAAATGAATGTAAATTGGAATATGAATGAAGAAAAGAGAAGAAGGAAGGGAGAATTATTACTTATTCACTACAAATACTCACTACAAAATGAATAAATTCAAATAATGGAAGCGATAAATGTATATTCATCCAGTACATACAAATATGATTTCCAACTTCTAGCATGTTGCGAGGAATAGTCAATTTTTGAAATATCTTTTATAAACCCCGAAATCAAATGTCTAACCTGTACACACATACACGTATTGACTGCGATAAAAGCAAGACATTCTGAACAAAACACTGCAATCGCATAACCGAAAAACACCAAGTGAATAATTCAATCGTCTATAGTAGCAATGACACAGTGAGTTTATAGATGGCACAATCAATAACATATATACGTTATTTCTTACCTTCAAAATAATGTTACAGTTTGTTGCATTTAGTATACTTTATTTATTCAAAAAAGGAAAATAATATTATCAGATGATAGATCATAATATATTATTTAGTACATTTAAATAAATAGGTTATTATTCTCCATGCATTTTAAAAACTTTTATATTATGCTACATAATATTCTCTACGATTATAATAAAACACGAAGTATATCACTGACGATCTAGGGACATCACATTCAATCAAAACTCCATCAAAATGTGAAAACGATTCTCTCACAAAGTATCGACATAATTAATGCACGAATTATTGAACAAAATTATTAAATGAATGGTAGTACAAATAATATATAACAATATTTATTACTAAAAATGTATTTGATTATACAAAAGTAAAGATTATGCATAGAATGTATGCTATGTTCATTCTAATAGAAAAGGAAAATGAATAATTCTTTATAGATTATATCTAAGAGATAAATTTCAATTAATACTTATAATGTTGTATTTTATATTTATTACAAAATTATTATAAGCTCCAAAAATATACAATGCTCAATGATTATATATATATATGCGTGCATATGTTTAGTTTATAGGATACATTTGCGCGTATACTAAATAACAAAAATTTTATTTGATTTTATATAAAAATTAAATGTTTTAAACTTTCCAAACTTCTCTTATTTTAAAAATATTCGGTTTAAAATTTTGTAAAATTAGTATAAAATGGATAAAAATTATAAATTTGTGAAATTCCTTCTCTTTATTCCTGAAAATCACTTATTTTTGTTTGTTAAGATTATTAATATTTGTTAATATTGATTTACGAAATGTATTATAATGTATTACACTTGTAAAAAATAATATTGTAATTGATATCAACACGTAATTCAATGTACAATTTTGAAAAAGTATTTTTAATACTACACATTCTTGTAATCAGCATTAAGCTCATAATGATATTATTTCGAGATCATTAACGTAATTACTTAGACAAATTTATACATAAAAAAAATTGAAATTTTATCATAAGTTTTAATGAGTTATGAGAACACTTGATATAAGAAAAAAATTGTTGTGTATTTTTCACTATTAAAATATTTATAAAATTATTACCGCAAAACTTCAATTTTTTGTTTTATCATAACAATAAAATATGTAATGACATTACATATTATGATATATATGTATATTAAAACTATGCATGATTTTTATATCATTAGTATAATATGTACATATACAGTTGATAATAGCATTGTTGACATTCTAGCAATGGGTCAATTATACTAAATAATAAAACTTATTTTTAATACATATCAGACCATAAACATTTAACTGTAAAAGTATGAAAACTTACATTTGTTGACTTTATCAAGCTTCTTAAATGCATTATATATTTTTCTATTATTTGTATTCTGATTACGAAATCAAAATTGATTTTATTATGCTTAATAGTAAATTTTATATATTTATCCATAAAATAATTAAATTTAAACTCAAATTTTATTTATGTTTATCACTTGATTCATTGCATTGTTACCACATTCTTGACAACAATGCTTTTACATTATTTGATCTCATAAGCAGTTATCACAATAAAAACAAGGTCATATATCTTTTTAAACTAATTTTCAAGATCTAGTTAAACAGAAATATTTAACGAAGCGTGTTTCAGGTATAAACTTATTACATAAAACTTTTTTCGGTACGTCTGGATTTAAACATAGATATAAGTCCTCATTAAGTCACAAAAATAAATTAACAATACATGTGCGTTTGTTGACTTTAAGTTATGCACATTTGTATAATTTCGATAATTTTATAAAATTGATAATGCTTCATATTGACACAGAGGACCTTTTTTCATATTATAGATGCTATTAGAATGCAAAGTACATAATAGTTTCTTTCATAAATTTAATGTACAGTATAATTCTATACAATATTTACTTTCATACTAAATTATTCATTATTTTTTATTTCTTTCTGGGCCCGAATTATGATTTATAGAATTTTCCATATACTTATTATTTATACAGACTTTGTTACAGTTTTTATGCAAATTACAAGAAAATAACTAATTATCTTTTAATCATAAATTCTTCTATACATTAAATTTAGCAAATTTTCTATTTATTAAATACAATAATGTTACTGAATATTATCCTTACTTTACTAATTGTAAGTGACAAAGCAAATCATATTATCAATGATTTTATTCACTTTGAAATATATTATATAAAAAGATCCTCTATGCGAACAACAATTATTTTTAAAATTATTATATTTTGTCTTAAATGTTGTACTTCTCGTAAGTATTGCAGATAAGAGGGCACTGAATATATATTTAAGCATATTTATGATATTTTAAAAATATCATCAATTAATTTCTAAAGTAAGTCTATATGAAGCTAAAAATCGTTTGTAATGATCGAACCTGCAATGTAAATATGTAGCACATTTATATTGTATGCAAAAATATTAACGAGTCATACATTTGTTTAATGATATATTAATTATCATCAATTTTTATAATTTTTTAGTATTTTCGAAAGACATGGCACTATATACAAATGTGTAATGAATGTTATTATATTCGAAATATGTTTATCAATAAATTTTAATAATCATTATTCGCGATTTCAATCATGGTCGAGGCTTCAATTATTGACATTTAAGAAAATAAATAGGAACATAATTTAAATAAATCATACGTCCATTTAAAACACTATCATAAACTATGATCACAAATGACTAAATTTGTTTTACAGTAGCATGTTTACACCAGTAAATAGAATTACGTCATATATTCTATTTTAGTGTGATATCAAATAAATTTTTTAAGAATTTTTATATAATTGCATCTTTTTTTACATCTATCGTTTTTCTTTACCGATATCTTCACATAATTTGAGAAATATTAATGTCTTAAAAGTTGTATACGTTCATACATACTGTATCACAAATTTAGAATTATAGAAATTTTGTTCTAATGTGTTCATTAGATGTGCAAAATTTTATATTTATATATATCCCTGAATAAAATCCTTTGAACAGTAATTTTTTTACGAAAGAGGAAAAATTATTTAATAAATTTTCTTGTATTAGATAGTGCATAAGAAAAAATAAAAAAATTAGTGAAAAAATTTAATAATATAATTATTTTTATCATTTCAATATTAAACAATTTTAAATATTTCCGTTCAAAGGTTAAATATATAATGATAATATTTGTTTATAATTAGAACTTTTTTCGAATATTAATTATCAATAGAAACATCTTTTATATCATCTTTGCTGATATTTTGGTTCATTTGATCATTTTCGTATTCTACGAAGTCATCAAATAAACTTGGCCATGCTTCTGCATCATCGTAAACACTAAGATCATCACCGATACTTTCAGCAAAATTTAAAAACATATTCCATGTATCTCTAGGTATGCCTCGAACATGATGGCACTCCAAAAATTTAAGCCATCTTGACAAAAGAGGTGGTTCACGTATTGTGAAAACAAGCTTCCAGAGAACAATTGCCATATCAGCTGGTAATATTCTTTGACCGGAATTAACATCTAAACCGAATCGGAATGTAAATCGATAGAGATCTTTGAATAAATCATTGTTTACAGTTAATTCTTGAACAATTTCTGGTAATCTTGCTTGTATACCACGTATACTGTCTACTTTCATTGCTCTCAAACCTATTACAAATTCTTGACGTGTAAATTGGCACATCTGTTTAGCATTTAATTTCCAAGCAAGAACAAGTACTTTAAATTCGTCTGGTGACAATTGTAGATCATTACAAAATCTTTCTATACCATCAGCTAAAATTACATCCTCATGTGAATCCTGTAGGAATGGAAAGCAGACATCACTCCAATGTAACAGGTACATAGATGAGTATAATAATAATAATGAACTTCCAAATTTCACCTTATATTGGTCAAATAAAGCATTTAACTTGTTTTCTGATGGTTCTTTTTGTTGTTTTGATTCAGTAGTTGTATTAAGACCAGATGATGTTCCAGATCTACCCAATGGTGATAACCGTGCATAAAATCCCCTTGACGAACGTAAATTACTTTGTACGGTAGGCATAGATCCACAATTATCAGATCCTACATTATTGAATGTTGATAGTGTGTTTCCATTTATATGTGCTTCAGGCACTAAGGGCCCAGTTTGTTGGCAAGAATTTAAGAATGAACCTCTCAATTCCATTGTTTCTAAAATCATTACAATTATAATTTACAATTTAGGTTATATTAACACAACCTTAATTGTATATAACTTTATTAACATTTATTAAGTGTATCAAAATGATATGAAAATAACAAAAGTAAAAAATATAATTTTTCCCTATGTATGAATATATATATATATATAAAATTACAAACAATATATATTAAATGTAGAAAATAATCATATTACCGTCTTTATAATCGAACGATGAAGAGCGAGTGGCAGTGGTTGGTGGAAGAGACACCTTAAAGCACGAAAAACAGTTTCCCATTGATGCTGTCCGTATTTAATGTTAAAGACAATTATTCCATGCATCAGTAGTTCAGTCTTACATTGGCAGTCTTGATCAAAAGCTAAACAACAAAACCAAAAGACAAATGACAACGTAACATGTCATGTATATTACAATGTATTATAATAAATTAAATATATTATAAACATTCATGTGGTTTTAATACATACATATATATATATATATATATATATATATATATATATTATATATATGTAAGTATATATATATATATGTAAGTAGTTAACAGTTTTCATATATCGTATGCTGATTAAAAATCATTATATTGATACAAAAAATTTTCAATTAGATACAAAATAATTATATATGTAAGTATATATATATATATGTAAGTAGTTAACAGTTTTCATATATCGTATGCTGATTAAAAATCATTATATTGATACAAAAAATTTTCAATTAGATACAAAATAATTATTTTGTTGAAAATATAAACTTAGTACATGGATATACAATAATATATCGTCCTAAATTCATAATTTTATTATTGAAAAGATATTGTAATATAAAAAGTACGATATATTAAAAAGATCTTTTACCTTATTATTGAGGAGGATTTTTGGTCTACCTGGGTCACAATAACCCCAGTAAAGACCCCCCGCAAAATATCTTGCTTTGCCTTCATTCATTAAATTCCCACAAAGTATTTATTTCCTAATTTGTCGTAGCTAAAGTTAAAAAAATACTTCAGTTCCAATTCTTTTGAACATTTCATTTAAATGACTTTTAAGTTGAGTTTGTATTTGACTAAACAACACCGTCATTTGTAACGATATAACCTCATCAAATGATATAATGACAGTATCATTTCATGTATGAGACATACAGTCAAACCGATTTATTTCCTATTATGTATGAAAGAAGTCTGTATAAAAAAAACACAGAACAAAGATATATTCTTCGTATTTCAACACATAATAAAAAAGTCCCTTCAAAATGAAGCAACAACGAAATCTTTTTCGTAAATTCAGTGTTGATATGCTATGGAAGTAATAGTCACTAGGGAAAATATATATACCTTAATAAAATTGCAAATCTACACAAAGAATACAGTTGTTATTTTGTTTGTTAATTTATCGAACTTATTTGGTAAATATTTTTCGAATACAATTGAAGAATATAGTTAAATATATAAACTTATTCAAATAATGCCCAATACTTATATAAATAATTTATCGGTAACGATATACTACAAATTATATTTATTCCTTTATACAGAAACCTACATCTTATATATAATACATGGTGAGAATATATCTGGCAACACTGTCGATGTAAACATAACCTAATCAATATAACCTCTTTGTAAACAGTTCATGAAATATTTGTCTTTGTGATAATGTAAGTACATTACTTGCATAATTAATGTATGTACTAAATATTGCAATAAATATAATGTAGTATAGTAGATATACAATAGCGCATGTAATATACATATATATATAATATAAATTTGTTTTATATTTATATTGGCTAGCTGTTGCACATATTATAATCGCTCATTGAAATTTAAAAAAAGATCTCTCAGATATATATTTCATAATTTCTAGTTTGACCTTTTTTCAGTAATGTGACACAGTAATATTACACATTTTTTTATATCAAGACTTTGTAAATTAACAAAACCAAATATTGATATGTCCTCAATTGAGAAAGGTTAAAATCAAATAATTATCAATCAAATATATTTCCTTATTTCCAAAGAATAAAGGACTGCAAATTTCTTAACCACTAACATTACTATTTACGATTAAAATTATGCCTGTAATTGCAATGGTAATAATTTACTGACTAGGTTATGTTTATTTCGAAACAAAAAGTCTTAATTTAGCGCTGTTGTCAAATTTATTCTCATCATCACCATCGTTTGCACTTGACATAATACACAAAAAATAATTTTAGTGCAGCGTGGCTTTGACAATTGTGCAACAAAATTAACACACGGAAACAGTGTGATTTTTGACAAATATCAGTGAAAAGTAGTAGTATAGCTACATATTGTTTAATATCAAATTTTAGTAGAAATTTTTATTGAGGATAACATAATAATTATTTTTAAGGTGTAAGGTATTATTACAAATTACACACACACACACACGTAACTTGTAGAATACGTTATCTTTTTAACTATGAAAATTTTACTTTTCTTTTACTTTTTAATTTAAATTTTTAAATTAGAATTATATGTTGAAAATATTTGGGCTTATGAAAATTAAGTAATTTCCTTGTAATAGTACTATTTAAGTAGTTATAATATAAGTAGTTACAATATCTATATACATATTCCCAGTATACGATTATAATCGTGAATTTATTTAATGGCGTATAATAAATGAATATTGATAAATGAATTTTCAACTTGAAGTTAATGGTAATAACAATAATGCGACAAAGTAATTTTTCTTAGTCCAAAATATATTTTTTTGTGTTAAATAAAATAAGACTTAGTAATTAATCTTTTTTTTGTAATTTATAACATATTTACTAAAATACTCAGTTTTCAATAGATAAATGTATTCTTTTTTACAAATATGAATTGTGTGTTGCAGATTGAACATTCCAACATATTTTTTAATTAAAAATGCCAGAATTACCACGAATTACAAGATCTTTGCGTATGTTTACAAACCTTGGACGTATTAAAAGTACAAGGGAACTACAACCAAATGATTTATTTAAAAAAGAAGAAGAATATAAAAAATTGAAAAGGTATTTTATAATTGATATTTTATGGAAAACAAATATTTGGTCATTATTGAATCATTAAGTTACTCATAGAATATTTCTTTAGGTTTCAACTAAGAAGACTTATAATTTATATTTACCTAATTAATTAGCACCTGGATAATTTACAACTTGTCATGACCATAATGTTATAGATGAAAAAATATAATAATCTGTGTAAAATAATTCTTCTTATCTTTAGTTTATTACACTATTGTGTAACTGATACTTATAAGTATGTTTATTACAGTGAGTTTAACTGGCAAGATTTATGCAGACATGTACCCAAAGATGCTTTACATCATGTTAATAAACTACGTCAAATTGCTGTAGAAACGTTTGGTATGTAATATCTTTAAAAAATAAAATAAAAAGTTATTATTTATTTGTCATTATTTTAGGAGAATGTTCTTATGAACTCATAGATGAATTTTTATTGTTTACTCTACAATTACTAATCAATGACAAGTTGTTAACTAATGAAAAATTCGCAATTTTAAAAAGGAAAGCTGCAAATTTAACATTTCAAGATGCTCAGAATATGATGGAGGTAAATATATGCATGCAATTTTATTATTTATATATATATATAAATCAAAATATTTGATATATGTTTTTATAGATAATTAGAATAATTCGAGAAAGATTAAAAGAAAGTATTTTAGTACTCATAGAAAATAGAGAAACAGATGCTGATAATATTGAAATATCAGAAAGTAAGTTGTTTGGCTCAAAAATTGAATATAAACCTGCAAGAGTATTGTGGCCAGATACTGAAACACTTCGCAGTATGTCTTTAGAAAATATTATTCAAAGTACTGACAATTTTTCGATGAAATATAGAAATGAAGATGCAAATCTGTCTAAAACTAAAGTTTGTACTAAAATTTGTTTATATTATTATTTATTTCTGAAAATATTTAAATTACAATTATATTTTCATTTCAGTTTGATAAGGCAATATATAAACAAAATTTAGAGTCATATGCAAAGTATTTTACAGACATGACTTTGGAAGAATTTGAAGAGTTTATTATAATTAGTAAATTAAAAAATGAAAATTCAGAAGATGAATTACTTGATCTTTTAGGTTGTGAATCTATAGAGTTTATACAATACATTATTGAACATCGAAAAAGTATTATAGCTTTGAGTTCTGATTCAAAAGTACAAAAAAAGTGTAATGCCCAAAGACCTGTGATCAGTGGACAAGTGACTGTACAGTCTGAGAAAGAAAAACAGCTACTGAAACAAGTACGAAAGAAAGAAAAAAAATTAAATAAGATATCAAATAAACGAGAAAAAAGAGGAGAATCTGAAGAAAATAGTTTTGAATCATTAGAATTATCCTTAAAAAAGAATGAAGCATTAATAGAAATGCATACACCCATATTTGAAAAAAATGTTACAGACAGAAATATGCGAGAAAATATTCCCTTTGTATTTGACTCCAATATATCTAGTAGAACAACAGCTGGTTATGTATCGAAACAACAAATAATGTTACCACAGAATGCAGTAAAAAAAGATACAGAAATGTTTGAGGAAGTTTCTATACCTCCTCCAGAATCTCAACTAATTGATGTAAATTACAAACCTGTTATGATAGATTCCTTAGATGATACTGGACAAATGGCTTTTAGTGGTATTAAATCATTAAATATAATACAAAGTATAGTATTTGATGCGGCATATCATACTAATGAGAATTTATTAATTTCTGCTCCAACGGGTGCTGGAAAGACCAATGTTGCTATGTTAACTATAGTACATCAAATAAAGCAACATATTGAACATGGTCAATTAATGAAAAATCAATTTAAAATAATTTATGTAACCCCAATGAAAGCTTTAGCAGCTGAAATGACAGCAAATTTTAGTAAAAAACTTCAATGTCTTGGTATATCCGTTCGTGAATTAACTGGAGATATGCAATTGACCAAATCAGAAATTCAACAAACACAAATGATCGTTACTACGCCAGAAAAATGGGACGTTGTTACTAGAAAAGGTACTGGAGATATATCTCTTACTAGTATTGTAAAATTATTAATTATCGATGAAGTGCATTTGTTACATGGTGATAGAGGGCCTGTAGTTGAAGCATTAGTTGCTCGAACATTAAGACAAGTAGAATCTTCACAAAGCATGATAAGAATTGTTGGACTTTCTGCAACTTTACCAAATTATCTAGATGTTGCAAGATTTTTAAGAGTGAATCCACATGTAGGACTCTTTTATTTTGATCATCGATTTCGACCAGTACCCCTTAGTCAAACATTTATTGGTGTAAAAGCTACATCACCGTTGCAGGAAATAAATTACATGGATCAAGTATGTTACAATAATGTTATAGATATGGTGTCTAAAGGACATCAAGTAATGGTATTTGTACATGCACGAAATGCTACTGTTAAAGTGGCACAAACATTAAAAGAATTAGCGATGAAAGATGGTACACTTAAATTATTTATACCTGAAGGTCAAGCAAAATTTACAAATAAAGCGTTTGCTAAATCACGCAACAGGTATCTAATTGAATTATTTAGCAGCGGATTATCGGTACATCACGCTGGTTTATTACGTTCAGAAAGAAATTTGGTTGAGAAGTATTTTGCAGAAGGTTTAATTAAGGTATTAGTATGCACGTCAACATTAGCTTGGGGTGTAAATTTACCTGCACATGCAGTTATTATAAGAGGAACAGAAATATATGATGCAAAACATGGTTCATATATCGATTTAGATATATTAGATGTTTTACAAATCTTTGGTCGTGCTGGTAGACCACAATTTGATGTATCTGGTCACGCTACTATTATTACTTCTCATAATAAATTATATCACTATTTATCATTATTAACAAACCAAATACCTATTGAGAGTAGTTTTATTAAATATTTGGCTGATAATTTGAATGCTGAAATTGCATTAGGTACAATATCTAATGTAGAAGAAGCTATAAAATGGCTAAGTTATACTTATTTATTTGTTCGAATGAAGTTAAACTACCATGTTTATGGAATTCTTCCTCAAGTTATTATAGATGATCCAAATCTAGAACAAAAAAGAAAAGAGTTAATTGATGTAGCAGCTAAAGCATTAGATGAAGCTAAAATGATTCGATATAATATAAGTACAGGAGATTTGAGTACGACAAATCTAGGACGTATTGCAAGTCACTTTTATCTTAAATATGACACTATTGAAATTTTTAATAGACTTACAAAACCAATTATGAGTGAAGCAGAAATACTTGCTATGATATC